ACATAATAAAAAATGGAGATTGACATAAAATGTACATTACAGTGTTGTGCATGTGGTGTTTTGCTTGTATATTATTGAGTATTTGTAAAGTAATTAATTGCCCTTGACTTAATTAGTACAAACAGTTCTAAAATGTTATCACATTCACCTATAGAAAAAATTGTCTCACTAAGATTCATGAATCTATCAGCATGTGTAGTTTTGCAACTGGGGTTTTGCTTGTAAGCATTATGACTCTAGGATATAAATTGAGATTTGGATTTCTTGCAGCTCAATATTGGAGAAAATCAATGTCAACATTGGGAAAATTTGATGTCATTTTTTGCCCCAACCACTTAGAGGTACAGGAAGTCATGTATAATTCCCTTTGTCTGTTTTTCCTAGTGTCCTGCTGTAGGTCAGCTTAGTATAATATAAGACTGAAAAAAAGTAGAATGTTTGGGCATCCAATTGTCCTATTGACACATTTCTAGTTTTAACATAGTTGACATAATAAGGTTTAATAAACTACCTTTAAACATGCATACTTAAATTTCTTCACCGGAAAATATTGTCAAATAAAAGCTTTAACAAATTAAGTATTGTAACATTCAGAAACAGTCTCTGTATACATGTTCATCATAGTGGCCTTCATTGTTAACGTCTGGTATCATTGCTGTTCAGGAACAGAAAAGCTTTAAGATCACACTCCCAATATGATTTCCTGTGATACCCCGGAAAAGAATTGGCCCGGCCCTTATGGGAAAATTTTGTAATGGTTTAATAAATATTCCTGCAAATGGTTTTATATAAGCCTTGGGGTAAATTATTTTTTACTCCCCAAACCCTTTTCGTCCCCTGGTTTTGCCTATTATTTGGGGGTCAATGGTTTGGGAAAAACCCAAATTAAGACGCTTATATATTAAAATAGTAAAACCAAGATATACACTTTCTCACTCAACCAGATAAACCTTCCCATTCTGACATCAACCATGTTTTTTTCTCTATAAATAGTTAGAATTTGACAAAGTTTATAATAAAAGGGTTATTATAAGGATTATCCTGATCTATTTCTAGTATTTTGCGTTCACGGGTTTTACTCGTACAGATCGCTTTGGCTCCACGTTAGATTTTATCCTCATAAAATTGACATGAATGAAACACAAGTTCCACGTCAAGATTATGTGTCTTGTGTAATATCACTTTTATATTATTGCGACATGCTGTTATACTGTTTTAAACACTTGTCTAGTATACATGTATATTTAGATATACAGGTATATATTTTTAGCTCGACTATTCGATAAGAATAAGTAGAGCTATTGTAGTCACCCGAGCGTCGGCGTCGGCGTAACCACTTATGTTAAAGTTTTTGTAATAGTTCAAATATTTTCAAAGTCCATTGACATATGGCTTTGAAACTTTGCACACTTGTTCACCATCATGACCCCAACCTGTAGACAGGAGGAGGTAACTCTATCAAGCATTTTGACAGAATTATGCCCCTTTTTCGACTTAGAATTTACGTTAAAGTTTTTGTAATAGTTCAAATATTTTCAAAGTCCATTGACATATGGCTTTCAAACTTTGCACACTTGTTCACCATCATGACCCCAATCTGTAGACAGGAGGAGGTAACTCTATCAAGCATTTTGACAGAATTATGCCCTTTTTTGACTTAGAATTTACGTTAAAGTTTTTGTAATAGTTCAAATATTTTCAAAGTCCATTGACATATGGCTTTGAAACTTTGCACACTTGTTCACCATCATGACCCCAACCTGTAGACAGGAGGAGGTAACTCTATCAAGCATTTTGACAGAATTATGCCCCTTTTTCGACTTAGAATTTACGTTAAAGTTTTTGTAATAGTTCAAATATTTTCAAAGTCCATTGACATATGGCTTTGAAACTTTGCACACTTGTTCACCATCATGACCCCAACATGTAGACAGGAGGAGATAACTCTATCAAGCATTTTGACAGAATTATGCCCCTTTTTTGACTTAGAATTTACGTTAAAGTTTTTGTAATAGTTCAAATATTTTCAAAGTCCATAGACATATGGCTTTGAAACTTTGCACACTTGTTCACTCTATTAAGCATTTTGACAGAATTATGCCCCTTTTTCGACTTAGAATTTACGTTAAAGTTTTTGTAATAGTTCAAATATTTTCAAAGTCCATTGATATATGGCTTTGAAACTTTGCACACTTGTTCACCATCATGACCCCAACCTGTACACAGGAGGAGGTAACTGTATCAGGCATTTTTTTTACTATCAAGCACGAAGAATAGTCGAGCGTTGCTGTCCTACCGACAGCTCTTGTTATGTATATAATGTATATTAAATATATATATATTGACATGTTGCAAGTTTAATACAATACAGTAATATACAGGATAAAAATTAATAAATATGTTACAGCAATTTTGTATTGAATCTTTGAGTTATATTTTGTACCAGATGTTTCAGTCTACATATTATAATATACCATACATGAATCATACTTTATCATTATGCTACATTTACTTTTTCCATAATTGAGCATTAATATATAAACAAAATTGTGTGCAAAAGATAAATTCATATATTATATGTATCTATGATTTATTTTTGCCTGCAAAAACATTCTTTTTCTTTTTTTAGTCATATGAACACCCTGGGCCCCTGAAATTAATGACAAATTATTTAGAATTTTAAATCAGACGTCTATTTCACAGTTGTAATTTTTATATTTTAGTGGTAAAAAAAATGCTGCACATTCAGTATGCAGGCAAACATACAAATCCGACCTGTTGGTAATGAGCTCATTATCTTACAAAATCAAATGAATAAATTCTAGAGACAAGTTGGCTTGAAAAATCAATAGGTTAGAAATTAGTCTGGCAGATTATACCAGCATTTCTAAGTGTAATCTGACTCTGTTACAAAATATTCTTATTTCTAGTGTTGTAATGTTTTTCTATTTTTATACCTTATATCTTTATAAGTTCATCATTAACAGGGTAAACCTGAATAAAGCCTGTTTTTATGACATAATGAATTGACCAGCTTTATTCTAGTATGATTGATGATAATAAAAAAAAGTTGGAGTGGGAACCTGAAATGTTGCTGCCATTAAAAAGTATTTTACAAGTTCTGTTTTATTTAGCCTGTTCATGGAGTGTAGTTCCTGGTAAATGCAGGATGCCTTCAACACCTGCTATATATATAGCACCTTATATGTAAAGTAGTAAAATGGTACATGTACATTTGTTAAGAAACCGAACATCCTCGGATAAGGTGATCCGCATGTGGCTGAGGGGTTGACTTGAGGGTTGAGGCAACAGAATAACAGCCACGGCGTTTAATCCTGCCTCAGATTGTAAAGGGCGACTTAATTGGTTTGAATTATTGGAATATGTACATCTCTAAGCTCCAGCATGTGAGGTGGTTTTAACCCCTGGTGTTGCTTAGTTTGTAACACCCGAAATTATCAAAAATTATCTTTCCTGTTTCAGCGCCATAATAATGACCTAAACTGTGTTGGTGTGCCGTAAAACCAAACAAACAAAAGATAGGTCATGTGGCAGTGTTTTTTTCTCACTTTTTGGGGAAAGGGGTCGGTGCCCTTTGGAGGGGGAAAAATGCAATAGGAGGGGGAATTTTATTTGTTTATTTATTTTATATTCTTTTCTTTCTGGTAGAAAAGGGAAGCAACTCTTGCAACACACATTTAAAATATGTTGCTTTTTGTTAATACAGTCGACTCTCGTTATCTCGAAGTCATTGGGACCGTCCAAAAAATATCGAGATAACGAAATGTCGAGATAAACATGTTAGGGTTAGAATAAAGCGAAACTAATTTTTACAAAAGACATGTGCATACCTTATGTCAAATAAACTATAATATCCCTATGTCTTGTTTTCATAGCACTAGTCAATATTTGACAAAGTAACATTAGCGGATGTTTACCAGCGGAACAACGGGTGTCTGTGATAAAAACACATAGTGAGGTTTACTCAGTAATACACCAATATAGTGAATCGGATATGGTTGATTCGGATATCCTCCCGGGTTATTTATCGGGTCTTGCTCGAGATTGTTCGACCGCTGATTGATTTGGTGGTGATGTTGTGAACAATATTGCAACGATAGCGTTTCTATACTTTTACTTTTTCATTTACATTTAAAGTCATAATGAATTGATACAGTGTTCGAATATTTAAAAAGAATGTAAAATTCACTCATTTTGGACATAAGTCAATCAACACGCTATATAGATTAACTTTTATAAAAACAGCTAAACTTGTTACAAACATAATCGGCATTATGACACGCGCTGTTAATTGAGCAATTATCGTCTAGATTGTGTTTTTCACACGTCTGACGGGAACAGACGAAAGAAAACTATTAGTCGAGATAAACAAAGGATAATAGTGTGAAAATAACTGTTGGGGCTGAAATTTTACATCGAGATACTGAAAATATCGAAATAGAAATATCGAGATAAACAAATATTTCCAATATAGATAAATAGGGAAGAAAATCGGGACTTTCAAAATTTCATCGAGATAACGAAATATCGAGAAAAGCGATGTCGAGATAACGATAGTTGACTGTATACCGATCTAAAATATTGATCGTTAAACTTGTTGGGATGCCGGGAGTAGCTTCCCTTACCTACCCGTGAATGATTTGTAAACATCCTTGCTTAACAGTGTTACAGGCATAAAATAAAACATTTTTCGGCAGTTAGTTGCAAAAAAAATGATATTCATTGCAGACAAATTTGGGCTGTTGTATAGGGGAAATTTCAGCTTTGAAGGGTGAAAAAAACAAAATTTCGCCGAATATTTTGGTGAAAAAAAACACTGTTTAGCTATTGCCAATACATTTTCAATGTGGCTCTTTTGTGACATTTAGTGAAAAGCTGAGTTTTAATGTTCACCTGGCAGTGAGTGACCAAGACACAATCAAATTTGCACAATATTTCTAGGTTTTAACATCTAATAGATAATATAATTGTATTTTCAGAAAACCATAGCTGTATTCAAACCAAAAGATGAAGAACCATATGGTCAGTTGAATCCAAAATGGACAAAATGGTTACACAAATTATGCTGTCCTTGTTGCTTTGGGAGGAGTTGTCTGGTTCCCAATCAAGGGTATCTGTCTGAAGCTGGGGCAAGTGTAGTCGACCAGAAATTACAGTTAAATGTTGTTCCAACAACAAGGGTATGATAATACTCTTATAATAATTATTTAGGTTGTTAGTTGAGACATATTTATTTTAGCTCCATTGCAAAACAAGTTTTTGAGACTTACATTCGAGTCAGCTTCCTGCATGGAACTAAATAGTACTAGTGTCAAATAAAGAAACATGATCATGAGTCGAATAGGGCATAAACCCATGGTCCCTGGGTTGAGAGACAGACACCTTGATCACTAGGCCACAGCTCCCCTTAATTAAGGGGGTTGTTCACCACAATAAAGGTTGCTCCTCACTGCTGTAAGCAAACTCTCGGAATCTCTTATTTTTGAATAGTTTTTTTTGTGGTGAAGTATTCCAGGCAGGGAATAAAAGTTTGTTGGTTTTACTCATGTGACTGCTTGTACATAAAGTAATGAATTGAGGAGTTCATAGACTTTGCTTGAAAATATAAATAGTTTGAATTTGAGGCCAACATCAGGTAAACAGAATGTGTAAGCCTCATTAAATAAAGTCTTTACTTAATAAGATTAAGTCATATTGCATAATTATTTTCTTAAATTTTACAGGAAATCATCATTTTGATGTTCCTTAATATGTTTAGATAAAGTGTAATACATGTAATGAAAAGAAATGCCTGTTTTAAGTATGATGCCTAAAATATTTTTGTTATTTTCAGGTTGTAAGATTATGCAGTCAGACATTCAACTATAATGCAATAGACAGAGCTAAAGCAAGTACAAAGAAAATGATCAATAGGAATTTTTCACAAATAGGTCGTAGGTTTAATAGGATTGGCCTCCCTGCAAAGGTAAGAGTTTATTTAATCTTTTGAGTGCTAGTGGCAGTAATGTCTTGCCTATACCACCAGTATAGGGCCAGACCAGCCTATATATCATTGCAGTCTGACCAGGTGAGCTGATGATCATGGAGCTTAATATATTTAGCATGTATATTTGTAAAGAATAACACAATATTAGAAATCTTCGACCAATCGGGAATTATTTTTTCTTCCCCGAGAACGCTTGAAAATTAATGCGCCTGTCATTTGACATCTTTACGCAGTGATCTCCCCTTAATTTTATGGCGTTCGTGTACTTATAAAGGGAAGCAACCACTTCCAGGAGTTTGGACTTTGGATTTTGCAAATAAGCACATCAGGGTCTGAAATTTCGCTACCATTATTTGCTTGGTCTGCCGCCACTCTTAATCACATTAAATTCTTGCATCTCAGACAGGATTATCTACCGTTTTCACCGGTGCTAGAAAACTCTGTCTTACACCCCCCATGTAAGACAAGTCGCGTGCGTTAAATGACGTCATTGACGCGCGCCTTTTATGAATGATTCGCCTTCTTAGGATGACGTCATATTTCCGTTATGAATGAAGTTGTATGTTCATACGCTACTATAAGAAAAAAGTGCGTAATGAGAATATCAGTTTTCATAATTTCTGTTCTGAAAATAATTGACATGCAATATGCAAGAAAAAGAATCAAACACCGGCTGTTGGTACAGACGTGAATTTCTAGCTCTAGGGTAACTGTTTAGCGGAAACTCGGCAGAGCCTCGTTACCGCTGTAAACAGTTACCCTCGAGCTAGATATTCCGGTCTGTACCGGCAGCCGGTGTAAGATTCTTATATTCTTGCATATCAGACAGGATTATCTACCGTTTACACCGGTGCTAGAAAACTCTATCTTACACCCCCCATGTAAGACAAGTCGCGTGTTTTAAATGACGTCATTGACGCGAGCCTTTTATGAATGAATTGTGTTCTTAGGATGACGTCACTTAACCGTTATGAATGAAATTGTCAGTTCATACGCTACTATAAGTAAAAAGTGCGTTATGAGAATATCCGTTTTTGTAATTTCTGTTTAAAAATAATTGATATGTTATATGCAAGAAAAAGAATCAAACACCTGCTGTCGGTACAGACAGGAATATCTAGCTCTCGGGTGACTGTTTACGGCGGAAACTCGGCAGAGCCTTGTTACCGCCGTAAACAGTCACCCTCGAGCTAGATATTCCGGTCTGTACCGGCAGCCGGTGTAAGATTCTTATATGACGACCCAAACAAATAAAAACTGAACTACCTCTTATATACTAGTAGAGCCTAGTCAGACCGCACAGATTCGCAAGCTACCCTGGCTCTGGTGACAAAAACAAATTGTTTTTTTGTTACCTTTGAGTAAGGGACAATATCAGATTCAAAGTGAGGCTAGTCCATTTCTAAAAATAGAGTAATGATTTAATTATTACTTGTCACTTCTCTTTTACTCTGTCTTAATTAATTAAGGAAGCAAGGCAGATAAGATTAGAACTGATATTAGTGTTATCAGATGCTCTAAATGAAACACATATCTGTAAGACAACATTTTATCCCAATACAAATGGAGGAGCTTTTAAAAAACACATGTCCATTTTCAAAAAGTGAGAGAAAAAAAATGTTAGGGACATATGATAAAATTTATTTAGGTCTAATAATCATATGTGAGTTAAGGAGTAATAGCCGGTGGATTGTCCATGTTTCCATGTGCAAAAGTAATTGAGATGAAATATTTTGTAAAATAACTGTCTGTTTTTTGCTTGATTAATACTAAATCTTGCATTACATAATCACTTTTCACTATCTTAGTTTTTGATCACTTGTTTTTATGAAGTTTTGATCCTTTGAAATGCTTATCCTTTATCCTATCCATATAACTATGATTGCTATTTTACAATGGACATAATTGTATATTATGAATGAATTAAGAGCGTTTACTGTTACTATTTTCAGGCAGGATCGTTTCAACTATTTGTAAATGGTTATAAAGATGCAGACTTCTGGTTACGTAGATTTGATAATGAAGCTTTACCAGAATCAACGGCGAGAAAATTTCAACATTTATTCGAACGATTAGTAGTCTTAGATTATATCATTAGAAATACAGGTAAATATATTATTATTATTACTACATCATATCATTAGAAATATTATACAAATATGGACTTTTTAGCTATGTACTGAAAAAAATTAATATTGACCGAGGCGATAATATCATATCATGAGAAATACAGGTAAATACCTTATAATTATATCATATTAGAAATACAGCAGGTAATACATTATAGAAATACAGGTAAATACATTATTGTTGATAACATTAGAAACAGGTAAAAACATTATTTTCCATAGCATTAGAAATTCAGGTAAATACATTATTAGTGTATCATATTATTAGAAATACAGGTAAACACATAATGATTATGTCATATCATTAGAAATACAGGTAAATACATTATTGTTTTATAATATCATTATGTCATTAGAAATACAAGTAAATTTATGATTGTTGAAATCATATCATTAGAAAAAGAAATACATTATTGCATGAGATACAGTGACTTATATGGTATTAGATTGATTCCTGTGTGGAACATTGAACATTTTCATTTAAGTGGCACACTGCCTACAATTTATATAAAGATTCTTGGTTTTGCTAGAAATAATTCTCTTACAAAGTTGTCCTGTTTTCATCACTATTATGTTAGGAATATAGCTTTATATTAGAAGTGAGAATGTTAAAGTACAAACATAGTGAGAAAGAAATTGGATGGAAATTGACAATTATCTTCATGGAACAAAGCTTTTCTATTCTCTCATATTATTATAGCGAACAGAATTGTCTGCCATGTGGAAAAATTGATGGGTCAATATTGCACAAAGCTATCTTCCATTAAATGAATAGATGATCAATATGTAAATGACTTCAGGTTAAGATTTTGCTTGCAAGTTCTGTTTCCCCAATCTCTGGAAAGTTTTTTTTGAAACTTCATACATGTGTTATGTGTAATAATTTTGTGTCAATGATGAAGGCACATAAGTCAAGCATATAAGTTTACTGAGTTATTCATTTTTGTTGACTTAGAAAATTTCTACATGGTCAAGCTCTGTGTAAAATCAAACATGCTGTCTGTCTATATTTCAGTATGTCTGTAAGATCCTGATTGTTTTGTTTCTTTTACTAAATAGGTTAAGCTTTAAATTGAATTCATTTTTAAAAATTGAGAATTCAGTCCCCATTATGGTCTTAAAAAGTTTGGGTTATCTTTCTTGTTTACCAATTGTTCAATATTTTGTTTTAACATTATTCAGATATCACATGCAGGTTCTTATAATTTGAATGAAGAATGAAGTAATTTAGAATTTGAATCTAAATCATAGTCCTTTGGACTGTGTTAGTAACTCCAATGGCAATTTTGAGATATTGCAATGTTAAATTACTTTTAAAACTCTTAGAAAAAAAACAAGGGTCACTCTTCCATTTGCCACCTGAGTTATTGCAATTCCAGGTGAGAGGCTTAAATTTATGAAACATTTTCACTTCATAGAGTTCTTTTTAAGTTATTATAATGGCTTAAAGGTTTCATGCAATAAGTGGCTAAAACAAGTTATAGCCAGCAGTGAAAATAAGTCATAATTATTAAGATTGATTATATATCTATATATATATATGTTATTTGCTGTTATATATTTCAGATAGAGGTAATGATAATTGGTTGATAAAATATGAGCCTGCTTCAGCTAGTTCAGATAGAAAAGGGGTAACATATGTTTCCATATATTAATTGGCATGATTAATATACATATATGTTTTATTGGCAATGTATACAGATAATGTATACTTGATGATTGACCAATGAAAATCAATGTAATTAAAATGTATTTTTAAACAAGTTCATATGAATTCTACATGTAGATCAATTGTTTAAACAAATTGAAACTGTTAAGAGACATATTAAGTTAATTTGATAAGGATAAAAGAGAATAATTGTATGGAATTGTGAAACTATGTATGACCAAAATATATTCTCATTCTTAGGCCAACATGATGTGTTTTGTTTAAACATATTGATTTAAGCTTGAGGTCAATACAAGTTCTTGCAACTTATATTAATCACTTTCGAGTCCGCTTCTTGGAACTGTGACCCATCTAGGGCTCGAACCCATGATACCTTAGTTGAGAGGCAGACACATTAAGAACTTCGCCACTTCTCCCCTTAATTATAATATGTTCCACTGATGTTTGTTAATATGTTTGTCACTAATAGGAATATTAAAGCTTGATTAAAGAATCTGTATAAATCTTTTAAATACAATTAACTGGATACAATATTAAAACTTATAAGCTTGTCAAAGCACAGGGAAAAAATAAGATGTTGACAATATTGTATAACTTACATTTCAGTCCTTTGAGTTTTTTTTATTGTCTAGACAGAAACTGTGTGGAAGTTAACCATCTAAATAGTAAAAAAAACTTAGTGAATAGATAAACATATCAGAATGTAAGTCTATCAGACAGCTTGATGTGAAAAGAAATCAATGTGTTAGAAGATAAAGGGACTTCAGGATGTGATACCTTAACAATGGGGGGTTTTGATTGGCCGATTTTATTAGTGATATTTGGTCATAAGTCATTTGACAATGATATCTTTTGTTTAACAATTCTTAAACTGAAATTCTCTGTTAATGTGTGGTCTTATATCATGTACAAATAAGGATAATGTTCACATACTTAATCTTCTGAATTTGTGTAATAGATTGTCCGTGCTTTGCATTTGGAACAGTCCATTTGAAAATCAAGGGATTTTGGTATCAAAATACAGAAAAAAGCTTCCAACTGTATAGTGCCTGGTCAGACTGCATGGATGTGCAGGCTGGCCAGGTACTTCACCAGTGACAGAGGCTAATCCCATTTGGCTCTAGGAGTTTTATGAGTTAAGCTAATAAAGGCTTCTGATTATGACATAAATTCTCAGTTTGAGCAAGACACTGCAAAATTCCCTATCCCCAAGGGTATGGTTAATGTTTTTTAAAAATACTGAGAAGAAAAAAAAACGTTTAAAGCACTTTTGATTGATGAAAATTTAACAATTTCATATTTTTTGTAGACAGTGATATCTTTATTGCACGTCCATGTACTTATTGTCTGTAAAAAGTGTGTGTATGTATGGATTGAAACTCTGCTGTCTAGATTAAGTTACTAAATAAGCATATTGATTAACTTATGGGCCCTGAGCTTAGAACTTTCTTATATTAACATGTTTGTTGCATAAATCACAGAATCACAATTGTGCCACTCTGGGTGCAGTTAATCTCCCTCCTATGGTAACATGCATTTAGCAACCTTTATTCTTCAGCATCCCCTTATATATTTAAATATTGAATTCTTCCTAAGCAGGTGCCTGAGGTTATGAACTGTAGCATGCATAACTAAACTACTGTCCATTAACAGGTTCAGAAAAAGCAATTTGGAGTGAGTGTTTTCATTTTTGCTGCTTCTGACAACTTTTAAGATTTCATTTTCCATTACAATCATAGTTTTGTTGTTTATCTTGATTTAGGATACGGAATGGAGTTTTGTTGAAAATCCAGACATTTCTATAGCAGCCATTGACAATGGTCTAGCATTTCCATTCAAACATCCAGACGAATGGAGGGCATGTAAGTTACTATTTTAATGCTTTTAAACAAAACTTTTTTTTAAATTATTTATTCTACCATATGCTTACCCTGAATAATTAATTCCCACAGTTGAATTGGATTGTGGGGGTCTTTTATTTGTCTTTCCACCTGTTTATGTTTGTCTACCTTTTCTGTATCATTTTCAAAGTCTGTTCATTACTTCTAAACTTTAGGAGTTTGTTTGAATGTTGGTTAAAGGTTTCCACATAGAAGCAAGGTGCAAAATTGATGATGCAGACAAACCTGCTCAAGGTCAAGGTCACACTTGAAATTTTAAAGTTGAAAGCCAAGATGTTTTTTTAACCTTTTAAGAATATGAATCTCACAATCTTGTAACCTTCACTTTGGCATTCTCCTGCTTCTGTGTAAGAAAGGCATAAAGGAATGGCCTTTATCTTTATGTGCTCACTCCATATCTTATTTTCAGGTTGTTTCTTGAAACATGAAAAGTTCACCCCATTGACATAGATGTATGAAGCAACTGTATGGTCTCAATGTCTATGTCACACTTTACTATGGTTTAAATTTTAGAAAACACATATTTGTGTCTGTTCTATAATGCCTGATACACTGTGCTAGCTGACTGTCATAAACATGAAAAGTTATTTGAAAATGCCAGAGTACCAGGTTATGGTCAAGTTCGTACAATGAAGAGATAAAACTATCCTTTGAAGTTTGAACTACTTTGTTAAAATATTAGAAATCAATCTTACATTAAGTATAAAACAAATCAGTGAAGTTTAAAATTTACCATAAGAGGCATTTTGATTAGCATTTGAACACACTCTCATCACAGTTGAGGGGTGGAGGTCGGAGTTCAAACCCAGCTACAAACTTTGGATTCTTTAATGTAAAGATGTTATATAGCTGGCATGCTGAAGGTCAGTGGTTCTCCTCAGTTACCCACTTTTGCCTGAAAAATTGTACAAAGGGCACCTCAAGTTATCCTTTACCAGTCAGTCATAAAAGTTATTATTATGAGATATACTTGAAATGCAACTAAAAACAAGATAAAAATTAATTGAACAATTTTACATCAGCGAATATTTCTGGAAAACAAACTGTATGTGGCTAATAGTTCCCTAACTAAAATGTAATTGACTGTAAGCCTTTCTGGTATTTGAGAGCAGATTTTCTTGACAAATACGGAAGCAGACAGTTTTATGGCCTTAAATCAAGTTGTAAGATCTTAAGTTACATTAACTGTCTAGCTAAAACTATTATAGAGTATTTTGAGATATTCCAGAAAACAAGAAAATCTTGTACATTGTCCTTTAAGTAAAGTTTGTACATTAATTAATATACATATAATTTTATAGTCATGTGAATGTAATTTATATTTTACTTCTTGTTTCTTTGGTCAGTTTTGTTAACTAAATGTTAAATCCGAATTTTGTTGATATTTTTCTGGCTTGTTTAAGTAAAATACTCAGTTTATTCAGTAAGTAATATTTCAGTATTTTAGTAAAATTCAGTGTTCAACATTATTCAGTATTCGGTGTTATTCAGTATTAAAATATAATTTACTATTCAGTATTAAAATATAATTAAGTATTCAGTATAATTCATTATTCAGTGTTATTCAGTGTAATTTGAGTCTTTATCTTTGAAAATGATGACTTACAATTTTGATCATTATTAACTAGGATATTGCAGTTTTTACCACAATATTTCTGTGTGATTTATGCAGTCAGGGCTATTTTTGCATATTTTTCACCTCTGTTTGGTAATTTTCAAGGATTTTTAGTGCTGTTAACAATGTTTAAATTTCTTTCTATGTTCACTTCACAATATTTTACATTTAAATACATTTTTTTTTTCATGAAAATTAGCATGAATTTGGAGGCATGCTGCTTTAAACATTGTCTTTAATGTATTTGATAGTATTAGCCAGTCTTTAAAATGTCAGTTTACGTAAAAAAATTTATGCAAACAAAAGTAAAATTTTTATTTAAAAGTTATATACAAACATGTATCATTAATGATTACAGTACCTATGTAAATATCTATGAATGTCATCATGGCTATTTTTAGATCCATACCATTGGGCTTGGTTGCCACAAGCTAAGGTGCCATTTTCACAGGAAATCAAGGATCTTGTATTACCACAGCTCTCAGATATGAACTTTGTCCAGGAACTCTGTGATGAACTTAAAGATCTATTTAAAGTAAGCCATTTTATTATAAAACCTATAAGTTTTCAAATGAATATTTGTTTTTCATTGGTAGAAATGCATCTTTCAAGAGTGTTCATGTGTTTTTATATCTACAAAAATAAATATTTATTTATGAATATACACATACATGGACTTTCAAGAGCTAATCAGTAAACTGAAGCACCTATTATGTCAAAAGCTTGGGGTGTCCGTGGCTAAATAGTTACAGTTGTTGTAAGTTCGAGTTGTGCAAGCGTCATTGGATTATACATGTGAGAAAGTTGATTAGCTAGCTTACGCAATGTTGGTGGCTCTATTCAGGTGCTCTTTGGTGACTGAAATAACGTTCAGAGAGGCACCAGAGGTCTATCTCTACAGAGTTAAATCTGAAAAGTTGCCATATGACCTATTCTGTGTTGGTGTGATGTAAAACCCAACCAAAGTAAAAAAAAATGAAAAATAAAAAACAAAAAAACAAAACAATAAAAATCTGTCAAAGAGATTTATTTGATTTTACTTTGACAAAAGTTAGGATCAGTTTTAACATATTTAAACTTTTGGGTTTTAACTTTTAAAAAAGCTCTTTTCATTTTGAAGTGAATTACCCTCCCCTTAAGGGGGCCCTAAATTTTAACCAAATAACTTTAAAAGTTTTTGGAGCAATTTTAAAATAAGAATTTTGATTGTTTTTTCCCTAATTTGATAAGCCTTTTGAACACTGGGCCTCTTTTTTCTATGATGTAAAGCAGGAAAAACATCTTTATGTTTTGTGCCCGAATACAAAATTTTATGCTGGGAGAAACACAAAAAAGTTAAAATTTTGACAACATAGTTTTAATTTACTTTTTTCATTAATTAAGAAAAGGGAAATTGTTTACGGGCCCAAAAGGTTTTTTTCCAAAAAATTCATTTAATGTTTTCAGCTCTTTTTTAAAAAATGTTGGAGATTTTGTGTTGGGAAATAATGACAAATACAATAAAATGCATACTTTTGATATTGTTTATTTCAGTCCTCGACAATGATGATAAACTTCAATTAAATATATAATTGTGTTGTGTATATTTCAGACTGATAAAGGTTTTGATAATCATACTTTCAATAAACAGATGTCTGTGATGAGGGGACAGGTATTGTTTTATATATTTATGCCCCCGCCATGTAATGGCCGGGGCATATAGTGTTACCCTGTTCCGTCATTCCGTCCTTCCGTCCTTCCATCCTTCCGTCCTTTCCGTCCTTCCGTCATTCTGTCATTCCGTCATCATCAGTTTCCGTTCATTATCTTAAGAACGGTTGCACACATTCAACTCAAATTTGACATATGGATATATCATGAGAAAATACAGGTCAAGTTCGAATTTGGTCATGGTTCGATGATTTTTGGCAGAGTTATGCCCCTTTTACTTTGAAAATAATATGAAATATCAGTTTCCATTCATTATCTCCCCAACGGTACAACACATTCAACTCAAACTTGACATATGGATATGCCATGAGAAAATACAGGTCAAGTTCGAATTTGGTCATGGTTCGATGATATTTGGCAGAGTTATGCCCCTTTTACTTTGAAAAATAATATGAAATTTTCAGTTTCCATTCATTATCTCCCCAACGGTACAACACATTCAACTCAAACTTGACATATGGATATGTCATGAGAAAATACAGGTCAAGTTCGAATTTGGTCATGGTTCGATGATTTTTGGCAGAGTTATGCCCCTTTTACTTTGAAAATAATATGAAATTTTAAGTTTCCGTTCATTATCTCCCCAACGGTACAACACATTCAACTCAAACTTGACATATGGATATGTCATGAGAAAATACAGGTCAAGTTCGAATATGGTCATGGTTCGATGATTTTTGGCAGAGTTATGCCCCTTTTACTTTGAAAATAATATGAAATTTTCAGTTTCCGTTCATTATCTCCCCAAAGGTACAACACATTCAACTCAAACTTGACATACTAATGCATCAAAGGAATGCGCAGGTCAAGTTCAAATTTGGTCATGGTTCAATGATTTTTGGCAGACTAATGCCCCTTTTACTTTGAAAATATTATGAAATTTACAGTTTCTGTTCATTATCTACCCAACAGTGTTACATATTCAATTTAAATTTGACATATAGATATGTCAAAGGAATGGGCAGGTCAAGTTGGAATTTGGTCATGCTTTGATGATTTTTTGGCAGAGTTATGTCCCTTTCACTTTGAAAATAATATAGATACATCTTAGGAATAAGCAGTTTAAGTGGTTCAATGATTTTAGACAAACTTATCTTTTCTGAATGTAGGAAAAATTTTGAACTTTCAGTTTCAGCACTCATACTTTTAGCCATTATTTTGGCTACAAAAATGCAAAATGCTATTTTTAAAAGGTTAAGACTGAATAATTTCAGTGCCTTGAACAGTGTATGAAAATGGTTTGTGTTAACATTGAAAAGTTTTAAGGGCTTTGAACTTAAAATGAAAAAAAAATTTAATGCACCATCTGAAATTTTGGCTGCATGCCACCGCATCCGTGGCATGATGACACATTTCTAGTTTTAAAATAAAGTTTCAAGTGAGAGCAAAGTGCTGGCATAAGCATTACAGATATTCGTTCCCCAGCTTTAGCCATCTGAAACATAGTTTTCCTTTCAATTTGATATTTGTAATTACATAAATTTTGTTATAAAGACTTTTGACAGGTTATATGGCCCATTATAAATGGTTGTAATTATATATGACTCAAGCCAGTAAACAAGGGTTATATAGCAAAAAACCATTTATACCTGTAAAGAATCTTTATAACAAAATACCGTATAAGTGGTTAAGTTAGCGACACGGAAATATTGGTGAATATCGCAAATTGAGAAAAATCTCTAAATTTTCCTCTAGCTTAAATATCAACCAACCTGTCCTAGCACAATTCACTAATATTTCCTCATGCAAAATGTCTGGAATTTTAAATTTGCTAACTTCTCGACATGCTGAAATATCCACTTATACAGTATCATACTGCACAATCCTAAAAAATGAAAATTTAATAATTAACAGTAGCAGTGTATATGGATAATATCAGTATTCAGATTATCCAATGAAAATAGATGTTACAAACATTGTAGTCCTATAAAATAGAATCACCTACCTGGATATTATTTATATACATGTACATGTATGCTTATTGATTAAAAAAAGCTAAAATTAATACATGTTATTTGAACATGTAATGCTTCAGACATTTAATGGAATACTTTTCATGTGAGGAAGTTGTCCAGTTAGCTTACGGAAACATCGGTGGTTTTACACAAGTGCCGGTTTGTGCCTGAAATAATGCACAGAAGGGCACCTGAGGTCTTCTCCACCAGTAAAGCTAGAATATTGCAATATGACCTATACTGTGTAAGTGTGATGTAAAACCCAATCAAAACAATCAAATACCGGAATACTTTTCAACATCTGATGAAATATATACTTGTATTATATTAACCTCTTAGTCTACTGATGACAACTGACTTTACCTGTGTGATTTTTACCTTCAATTTTTGTGTCATTTAAGTCTGTCATGTTGTTTCTTCTTTTATTTTTAGATTTTGAATCTTACTCAAGCATTAAAGGACGACAAATCTCCGGTTCAACTAGTGCAAATGCCTGTAGTTACTGTAGAACGTAACAAAAAAGAACGGACAGATAGTCATTCATACACTCAAAGTTTCCAGCATAGAACTCCATTCTTTTCATGGTGCTAACTTAGGGTATATCTTGTACAATAATGTTTGATATGCTGTTAGTTTTGAGAAGGATTGCTTGAAAAATGTACATGTGTATGGAGCTTCATTGAAACAAAATAAAAGCTTCATTTTTTCAAATCATCAGAAAAAATAATGCAGCAATAGAATGTTTATGAAAGTTGTGTTTTGAGAAATGAAAAGACAATGATAAAATATGTTGAAAAGCATGTTTGGGAACAGTGAGTGGAAGAGATTTTTAAAAAAATAAGTGAGTGTAAAAGCATTTTTTGGGAAAATGAATTTTATAACATCTTTAGGAAAATTACTGGAATTGTATCTTTTGCAAATAAAAAAAAGAAAAAATGAGTGTAATTGCTGCATCTTTTGGGAAAATGAATGTTATGACATTTCTAGGAAAAAGGAGTGGTGTGTCGTCTTTGAAATTTTTTGAAGTCATAGAGAAAAATGGGTCGTTCATACATGTGGTTTATAAGTTAGTGTTAAAAGGCATAATTTTTGGAATAATTAGTGTTTAATACAGGGATAAAAAACATTTTTGAGAAAAACTATGTAGAAGGTATCACATTTGAAGATAATATTTGAAAAATCATGGAAATATTAGTGTGGAACACCATAGAGAAATCAATGACATCATATTATCAAGGAGAAACATTTCTGTAACTGACAGAAAGAATTTTGTCTGGTGCAGGAAGAGAGAGAAAAAGTTTTGAGCTATTATACAATTACTGACCTTGGTACAAGAACACCTGATTATGACTTTATAAATGTAATAAATGTAGAACATTAGAATCATTGCTTAGTAGACTGAACATTTTGTAATTTGAAGTTTGTTGTTGACCTAAGAAAAGCAGTGGATTACTTGTATGTACAAAATATTCTTAAATTTGGTTGTATAAATAAAGTCTAAGGGAGACCACTCATTGTTGACTTACTACAATTAAATTATTTATGTGTGAGTGAATGTGTTATTTATTGTTATATGTTTAAATAATGCTCAGTGTACATGTAACATGGTACTTAAAGTCTTGGCTTACTGTTTAATTACCATTTGTAGCTAATTTCAAATATGTTTTTAGCAATACTGATTTTAATTTTCAATTTGAAAATAGAGGCCAGTGATTTGATTCATTTCTATATTGAGTTTGAATTGCAGTGTTAAGTTTTTATTATAATATTAAACACTAAAGGGAATAAGAAAAAAAAACACATAATGGGGAAATAAGAAAATTAGAAAAAAATTCTGAGTAAAAAAAGGAAAATAAATGCAAATGGCAATACAATAAAGAAACAAATACTGGGTGAATAAAAAAAATTAAAAAAAAGGTCTGAGTAAAGAAAAGGGGGAAAAATGCAGATGGAATATGATAAAAAAAAAACAAATACTAAGGGAATGAGATTAATAGACAAATACTTAAGGGAATGAGATTAATAGACATATACTTAGGGAATAAGATAAAGAAACAAAAATCAAGGGAATAAGAAAAAAAACAAGGGAATAAAAGCATCAAGGGGAATCCATTGGAGTCACCAAAATTTTATGTTTTTCTTGAAATTAAAAAGTGTTGATTTTTCATTCCATATTATACAATGTATGCTTGCTGTTAGAATGATAATGCTGAACTTTGTATCTACAAATTATTTGTTAATACCTCATAATTTAAAATCTGTTTTTCTTTATTTGTGTATATAAATTATATTATGTGCTAAGAGATGCCTGTTTCAACTCTATAATATTTTTCTTATCTTCACCTACTGGAGTGATAGTGATACGCCTTTGTCACCAGTATAGAGCCAGGCCAGCCTGCAAAATCCTTCGTCTGCACACCTGTACAGTCTGACCATGCTCTATATTGTTGGTATGTTCAAATTTTGTATTTTGAAATATCTTAATTTTGTAATGGACGGTTATCAAATTTAAGTTAAGGACCTCAGCTGAGGTCATAAAGCCTAAAAACATAAAATTTGGAATTCTTGGATAGATGAAGTGAAGCACTTAAAATTGACAAAATACACCCGGAATTGAATTAAATATCAACTTTTTTAGCGATTCTTAGCACAATTTGAGTACACAGATTTTAAAAAATATTTCCAGTTCTGTCATGTCAAAAACCCTCAGTGGAGTCCCTTTAAAGCAGTTCAAATCCATAATATAACACAAATTTAGCAGGTTAAAGATAACTTGAGAACAATCTGCATTTTATTTTCTTTAATGGTATGAAATATATGTTACTGGTATTATATGCTTAAAGGAACTCCACTAAGGTCCAAAAGCCTAAAAACATAAAATTTGAATTTCATACATGCACCAGCATGCACTTAAAACAGAAAAATATTTTTAAAAATGATGAATGGTTTTATCCAGATTGAAAGATGGACAAGTCCATTTACAATATTTAGTGTGGTAAAGGTTAAATCTAGTGGTGGTAAAGGGTTACTTATTCCATTAGTATAGAATCAGTCCAGTCAGCCACAATTGTGCTATCTGACCAGGCTTTGTATTGTAAGCAGAGTGAGAGAAAGGCCTGTTTTTTATGCCATGAATGTTATATGCTGTACAAAATATGTCGGGGTTTGGACAGTGTTACATATGTAATACTAAATGAGGTTGAGACTGGGGCGTGTAGGGGTGGGTCACTTGAAACTTGAAATGATAATACCATTATCCAAAGACAGAAACAATTATCTAGTCTTTTATTGCATACCATTTATTGAATAAGTCCCGAACACCATAATTATTAAACATTTTTCGTGCAATAACGTTTTTCTCATAAATTTTGGTAAAACTGCTGTTCTGTATACATGAATATCTCTATTCAGTTATAACAGTGTCATATAAATACAAGTATGTGCATAGATGAGTGATCTGAAGAGTTGACTGTACATGATTATCAGTGGGTGTTTTTGTTGTTGTTGTTTTTTCATCCTTAGAGAGAATGGGTCTAGATCTGCCAAATTGGACGCTTTTAATACATTGTTAATAAAAAATAATGGCAAGTTGGGAGAATAACCAAATTTTGAATTTTTTATTGTCATAAGGATTTTTTTTTCTTGGACATCATTTTTTGGACAATCACATTTTTATGATTGGGGTAACTGATTGATAGATCCCAACTCTGACCGTTTATTTGAATAACAAAAGATTCAATTACAAACATTGACATGTACTCTTTGGTTAACAAATATAGTGGGGTGAAATTTTTATTATAATCCACAAATCTGATAAATTAGAATTAGACAGGTTATGGATCTATGACAAGATAATGTACATATTGACATATTCATACACAATAACTCAACATGATCTCTTCAGTCTTTTTTGTACTACATGTATTGCAGCTTATCTTCAATTGATTATTGTCATATTTTGATGTGTTTGTGGCCTAGCATTAACAGATCATGCACATTGGTATTATTTCCCAGTTTGTTTTATTGTTATCAGACATATTTTCTCTTGGCTGTAACATTGTTCTATAAGCTAGAACCTTCATACATGATAACTGCCACTTTCACAGTGGTAACAATATAATAATTGCCTCTTTTACTGTGGTAACAACATGATAATTGCTGCTTTTATTGTGGTAACAGCATGTTAACTGCCACTTTTATTGTGGTAACAACATGATAACTGCCACTTTTACTGTGGTAACTTTATTTTTTACATACAATGTACATATACCTGTATGATAATTTGGTACTAACTCATAGAATGACCTTGACCTTCAATGACAAATTTAAAAGTTCTGATATGTTTCCTTACATCTGGGTAACTTTTGAACAGATTTGGGACTGAGGAACTTGTGGGATTTTTTTATTCCTAAATCTGGAAATTTATAGGTTCTCATATATTAATACCTTATTTATAACGTTATGAAATACCAAATAACGAAAGAAAATAAATAATTCAAGTAGAGATAATAATTTATGTAAATGTTTTAAGTGTACATTATATAAAGTTAATACAATGTTATGTTTATATATCATGTAAAGTGTATACTTAATGTAAGGCAATAAAGAACAAACAAGAAAAGACATGTTCAAGTTAAAAGACACTTTCAGAGGGTTTTTTCTTTAACCAAATAAGTTTTCTTATTTACTTTGTACAGTTAAATTCATTTTTTTTATCATAAAAAATTTGTTTGTAGGTTTCGGGGAACAATTTTTTCTTGTTATTTTGTTTGCATTGATCAGTTCTTATCTTGTATAAAGGAGTATTATAAAGATTTTTTTTGCTTGTTTATATTTGTGATTTATTTCTGTGTGATATTTAACTTCACATGTCTACATGTGAAGATGATGAGTAACTGGGGAATTTAAACAATAAGTAAGTATTGCTTATAGTATGTATATAATAAACAGGTACAACTGTACTGAGAGCGTGAACTGTAAATATCAGTAAACTGTAAAGCTCGCCATTTTCCTACAAAACTTCATTGTTTAATAACTCATTATATCAGTTGTCATCATTGGTTAGTAATAACTTAAATTATTTACTTCATTTAGAATTAAATAACATGTTGTCGTATCTTGACTTTCCAGTTTTTTTTCCTGGTTAAGGAATATATCAAAGTGTACCATTACATAATATTTCAGACATCTTATGACATTTGTTAAGCTTGCCTTTTAAGGTCCCGATACAGGGTAACTTACATGTGTTGACTTTCTATAAGAATGTCTAATCCAAGGGTCAAAGGTACAATCTAAGTTCTGGCTGATGCCTGTTATTGTGAAAGGATGTTTTATCATAGAAAGTTACAATATGAACATATATATATTGATTTGAAAAAATGAAGGTGCATTTCAACAGAATACTACCGGTAATCTGTTATTAAAAACTATATTTATTAGAAGGGATAGGAATTTACCAATGTTATGTTAGTGGGCAAGTGGTTTATAAATGAGTTCATGTCAAAACAAAATACTGTTAAACCTGTGTTGAAGACCACCTCCAAATAAAGATCACCCTGTACATAAAGGCCACTCTTCATCAGCCCTTCTTTCATTAAATGGAACAGAGCAACCTCCATATAAAGACCACTTGTCTTTAAAGGTCAGTTTTGGTCTTTCCTTTGGATGGCATATGTTCACAGGTTTTACTGTTATGAATTGTAAATTTTATATATATATACATGTAAGTCTATTGATGTATGTATCATTAGGACAGCATTTTGTGAATAATCCATTAGTTATACAATCATTGAACTTTGTTAGAAATCTCCAAATTATCGTCTATTGAAGGTATAGTAATTCATGGGAGATTGCTTCTCTAGAAATAAAATATGAAGAGAATAGTTCTAATGATTTGCAGATGAGAAATTATGGTGTGTGTTTTAGAAAACGCATATCAATTTCAATTTACTGTATGAGCCGTGTCATGACAAAACCAACATAATGGGTTTGCGACCAGCATGGATCCAGACCAGTCTGAGCATCCGCGCAGTCTGAGCAGGATCCATGCTGATTGCTTACAAACCCTATAACAAGAAGAGAAACTGAAAGCGAACAGCATGGATCCTGATCAGACTGCGCGGATGCGTAGGCTGGTCTGGATCCATGCTGGTCGAAAACCCATTAAGTTGGTTTTGTCATGACGCGGCTTGTATGTTCTGTGAATAACCTTTAGCCTGCTTGCAGTAACACATTCTACCCATGTGACCAGTGCCGACCAACATCAGTCCCCACATCACATCTGTGTTGTCTGATCATGGTTTGCACTGGCCATTCAGTTAGTATTTTAATCTTATTTTGAATATTGCCTAAAAGGGATGAATGGTTTTGTCTGAATTGAAAGATGGATAAGTCCATTTAAAATATTTAGTGTGGTGTGGGTTAAAACAGTGATGATTGCTTGCTCAATAGACTTCAATAGGAGAGCTAGAAGTTGTGTTAAAATTTGGTAAATTCAGACTTTTTATAACATAGATCATAGATGTGCCATTTTTCTGTTTGACACTTTCTTACCGGAAAGTTGGCTTCATTTTAGTGTATTTTCTGAAAACTAGTATCTTTGGAAGTTTGAAATCATATACATTTACATGTTTATGTTTTCAGATGCTTAATTAATTTACTTCCCATTCAGTTATACAAATGAAGAAGACAATTACCGGTTTCAAATTCTGAAATCTGATTGGTGGATTTTCAGCACACATATTTCAAATTAACCAATAGAATATCTTCATTTTCAGATTTGTTTTAAATATATAGTTGACAGAGTTGGTTAGTTCTGAAACTACATGAAACAAAAAGCTGATAGTTAGCATAATAATTATGTATATGTTAGTTTCTGTTTATTTGCTGAACATAAAATTATGTGCATATATGATTTAATGTATTCTTGATAAACTGAGTGTACAGGAATTGTGTAATGTTTTCTGATTATATATCATTAATTCCATTAGGAAAAATATTTGATTAAAAAACTTGTCACTTTTCGTTTTGTGTTGTTTTTTTTAAAAGAGAGATTGTATAGCTTTTTGAAGAACCAAGTGACATAATTTTGCCACAGGACAACTTCCATTTATCTATTATGGTTATCTAAAACATGATGGCTACTGCACTGCAGACAACGATACTTGAAAGAAAAAAATATGGAAAGAGTCGATAGTGGTAGCGCTGGACTAAGATGATTTTGAATAACCGTATTCAACGAGAGTTCCCGCCGAAATTCAAAGAGACATACCACGGTGAGGGAAGTTGACAACAAAAAAGTACAAATTTTGAGAAATTTGTATTTGAAATGTACAATAGAGTTATTTTATGGTCCGTCAAGTTATTCAAATTGCGTTTAACCCATTACTTCATATACACGCCTTTTAACGCCTTTTTCACACCCCCCCCCCTTTTTTTGTTGTCTCAAATGATGAAAAAATGCCTTATTTAGGCCCCAAACACTTGTTTTTGTTTGAGAAATGTTGTTAAAATAAGTGACCTCTTTTTCGGCGCGGCCCCCAACCAAAAGATGCATCAGGGGGTTGCCAGAAGGGGGATGTGCCCCCTTCTGTTTGGGGGGTTTGAAGGGGGGGGGGCGGAGTCCCCCTCATCGCCAAGAAAATTTATGACTTGTGAGAGGCTGTAAATGACCCCAGATTGATCATAAGGTAACGTGTAACCAACGCTGAAAAGCATTTGACTCTATCTCAATCCATTGAGAAGTTGCAGCACTTTGAAATCAATTTTGATGGAAAAAATCAACGCAAAATAGTGATTTTTGGCAATTTTGAGATGTCCCCTCGTTTTCATGGTAACAGAAAATTTAAGCCTGAGCATGTTGTTGCAAGGGCAATGGTCCAGTCAACATTTGTGCCAAGTTTGATTAGTGTTGAAGCAGTTTTTATTGTATTATAGCAATTTGAACTTGTAACGGGAGACTTTTCAATGAAAACAGCCATTTTTCACAAAATGCTCATGAAGTAATGGGTTAATGCTGCAAATAGAGAAATTTGGCTCATACATAATTTAGGTATAATAACCTCCCAAGACCATTATGACTAAATATTTTGATTTTGAAGCTTTTCACTTTAAACCTATTCATGTAATATATTTTCAGTGCTTCATGTTATGTTTAAATCAACGATAAACGCTAATCCGTAACGCTGATCCATACTTCACTATTTAAGTCACTATTGTATACGCTGAGTCAATGTTCAATCCAGTAAAAATATAAATAATTCAAGTGTTATTTACTAACGTTGAGTGTTTTGAAAGTAATTTATTTTAACATCCAAGAACACGTTTAAGTACTGGATTTTATTGCGACAGAAAAATAATAAATCATGGCTATGTTGTCATGGTCTAATTATAGTAACATGATCATCTAAAGTGTTGCGAATTTACGATGCATTAAACACACAGTAAACAGCCCTTAAGGCAGGTTTATTTTATCATATACATGTAATGTAATGCGTTTGTAATTGAACATTTGGTATATCGATGAAACACAGTCCCATCGTTTTTCAACATTTTTGTGTTGCAGACTGGTTTTAATTAACAACAGTTTTTGTTGGATTACGATAAACTTTTACGGAGTAAGGTATGTTTATACACGTTTAAACACTGCTTTATGACTGCTAGAATTTATTATATGCAGCTGAATGTCTGTGTGAGTACGCGCCGAATCGATTGCTATTTGTTAAATACCAACTATTTTTCACTGGGACTACTGTAATGTAACCGATTCGTAAAATTTTATAAAACACGTACACGAGTAGCATATTTACAAGTTATGTGTTTCTGGATTACCGAAATACAAATATCAAGTTTGGATGTATTTATTCATTTGTGTTTCATTTTTCATTTAAGTTACCTGGTGTAATTTAGGTGAACAAAAACACACGTTACGTATAGTTATACTTCTGAAATATTTAAAAATGAAGTAGATTACAAAATCTAGTACTAAGAACAATCTCAATATATTGGATTTATTTCCTGCAGACGACAATGGATGAAATAGCAGACGACATAAATACATTAGTTTTAAAAGCAGACGAGACTGACGCTCATGTTGACACGGGTGGTGGAACTTTCGATGGATCATATACGAATGAAAACTCTGTGAGTATAGGTGGCGCTCAAGACGTAGCACATGGTGAGCAGACGACACAACATGACGCCAAACCATTGGATATAGAAGAGAATGTTGATGATCTAGAAGCACGCGGCGATGACCACGGGGCTGCATCAACAGATGCCAGAATGCTAGGGTGTCTAGGTAGTACTGATTCAGCGGAAAAAGTGAGTATGAAATGGATTAACGCTACTAGTTTGTTATTTATCATGAGGTGCCTCGAGTTCGAATCGCCGCTGCTCCACCGAAACTCTAATGTTAGTGTTTTGTGTGTACATTTCACACCGATGCCCCCACTATAAGATAATATGACCTACGAACGTAATTACATGTATGATTCTATGGACCGACCACAATTTTATGACTAGGTTGAAGATTCGCATTAACTTTTTCGGTAACCAAACAAAATCGTGCCACAAATAAAATCTTTAATATCGAACATTTTCAAATTCAACATGTCAGGACTTATGATGACAAGAATATAATAAAATTATTAATACTTGTTTTTCTAGGCGGATATAATAAAACATCAACATAAATTAATACGATGCAGTCATTCGCATTTAGTACAACCTTGTGCAAACAAATGATAGAGCAAGATATGTTTTATATATTATTTCTGTCAATTAGATAAATTTTCTTTTCACTAAAGCGTTCGAGCATTAAAGTAAAATAAATTTTGTTTTCGCTAATAATTTTGATTTTCTTATATACCACTAGGTAAACACGATACTGTCTGTTGATCCAAAACTAGATGTATACGATATGAACTATAAATACAGGGGCCATGCACTATTGATTAACAATGAGAAATTCAGCATTCAACTCAGGCGCCAGGGGCTCGGGAATAGGGACGGCTCTAGTGTGGACGATGACAGCATGAAGAAAAGGCTCTCTGAATTAGGTACATGCATGTATAGTTTCATGATATAAACGCATATATAAAATCTAGATTAAAAGTTTTAGCTAAATCGTTTTATTCCTCAGAACGTTAAGTTTAAAGACACCATTTAGTTTAAAGACACCGGGGTTTGCAGCTCAAGAAGTTGTTTGGAATCTTGTTATACATTGAAGATAAAAATGTTGATGGCAAAAACCAGTATTGGTTGATGTATTGCATGCCCTTTGTCCTTCAAATGATTATGTTGAAAAGTTGGTGGCTGCTTGTGCGCTCTGGTACAGAGACCATGATGTGAACAGCCGAATGTGCTAGTAATTGCTTGTTATACCCCCGACCACTTCGGGACGTATTACTGTTGGCGTTGTCGTCCTTGGACGGACAACGCTGGGTAAGGTTACGTCCGTTTATCCGACCGTAGACAGATTGTTTCAGCAGCATTACTTGAGAGGGATTTTCGTGATTGTGTTTATATATTTGCAATTTCAGTATGTTAAAAACTATGGGCCAATTCGATTTTGGCTGCAGTTAAGTCAAGACATTGCCCCTTTAAGTCAGTTTTAAGCTTATGAAGGATTTCAGTGTTTGTGTTTATATTTGGCATGTAAGTATGTTATATCAAGTGTCAGATCATGTTTGATTTTCGCTGCAATCAACTCATTATTAAAATAGTTCCCCCCTTTTAAACAATTTAACATTTTACCTCATACCTCATATAGACGTGTTTTGACGGCTTTTCATCCCCCTTTTTAGGCCTCAAATAGTGAAAAAAACTGTTTTTCCTTTGAGAAATGTTTTCGGCGCCGCCCTATCAAAAACGTACATCAAGGTAGTTTGAACTTGTAACAGGATGTTTTTCAAAGAAAACAGCCATTTTTCGCAATATGCTCATGCGGTAAAAGGTTACGTTGCATCTAGCAAGTATGTAATATCAAAACACAAGTCAAGTTTGATTTTTTCTCTGCAATCACCAAATTGCAACCTTTCATCAATCTTCTATTTATCATACAGTACCTACGTTCTAAGGGAAGCAACTCAATTTATGAACACATCATTAATTGCTCTGATTTATCTCGCTTACTCGCAAATATTTCTGTCTCATGACATATCAGAAACATTTAAACTTTGATGTGATATGGAACAGAAACAGTAAAGATTTAATTTTCTGTCATTTCTCAAGTACTTGTAGCAGTAAAATATAGACCATTTCATTGAATGTTTTGATTTTTTCAATTACTGATACATTATAGATTAAAATATACATGTATAACCCCTGTCATTATGGATGATATTGAACTATGATATTCCCAGTTTTTCATGTAAGTTGATAACAAGTTGTCATGTATTTCCAGGATTTGCAGTCCATGCGTACCCTGATCTATCTGCCTATTCGATGAAAAGCGTGTGTTCCAAGATGGCCGCCAAAGATTACAGTGAATGTGACTGTTTTATTTGCGTTATTCTAAGTCATGGAGAAGAAGGCGTTGTGTATGGAACTGATAAACCTGTAGAGATCACAGAACTAACCAAATATTTTAAAGGAGATAAGTGCCCATCTCTTGTTGGAAAGCCTAAACTATTTATCATTCAAGCATGTCGCGGGTACCAGACGGATGCCGGCGTGAATGTCAATGTGGCTGACGCAAAAGGCATAGGTGAGCAAGGGAAACCAGCGATGGTGAAACTTCCGGTAGAGGCGGACTTCCTGTTTGCTTATTCAACGATTCCCGGCTACTATTCTTGGAGAAATGGTGCCAATGGTTCTTGGTTTATACAGGCGCTATCTGAGGCGTTAAAAGACTTCGGAAAAACAATGGAAATCAGAAAACTATTGACGCTTGTGAACAAAAAAGTTGCCTACAACTTCCAGTCGTTCAATCCAGAAAATAAAGACTTTCACAAAATGAAGCAGATCCCATGTATTACATCAATGTTAACTAAAGACCTGTACTTCTCAACAGTAAAGAAAAAGAAATTGTTCTTTTGATACTAACTACCAGTGATTATAATGTTTACACACGCAGCACTTTTTTGTTTAATTTCTCCAGAAACATATGTAAGTAATGCATGGAACCATTATCTATCACCTCTTAGTGTCAGTCCTTTGTCCATATATCCAACGTGCTGTTTAGTTCAGAGTCGACCATGTAAAACTATGTATACAAAGTAATAGTATGTGCGAATGCAGCAAATATTTTCCCATTTTCAAGAATAATACGGTTATACATATATTCAAAACACCTTTTCTTTTCAGCTGATTCAATGATGATGATGATGGTGATGATAATAATAATAATAATAATAATAATAATAATAATAATAATAAAAATCTTTATTTCAGGAAGGTAACATATTAGTATACAAAGTTAATACAAACTAAATACAAACTAGCTAGAGAAACAAATAAAAACCTAAAAAGCAACAGTAACAGTACAAGTTATCACAAAAATACTAAAACCTTCATTAATTAATCTATTGGTTTAATAAATTTATTGATTTTAAGTAAAGTAAGTATAAATATAAAAAATATTTCATATGTAAACATACAAAGCAATGAACATATAATACATGAACTAACACTTGTATACACCCGGCCCATTGCATGGGCTTATAAAACACAAATAACATATTAGCAAAAATTTGAATTTTACAAAACATTCTACGACACTCGTGATATATAAAGATGATAACAGATTATAAAAAATATCCATTGGAAAGCGTTTATATCAATATTTGAAAGACTGTAATGAGGTACTTATTTTAAATTTATATGGAATATTATAATATTCCATATTTTCATACTGTAGTAAGAAAATTTATCTTTAATATACTTGTATAGTTGGTACGCGGTCTTTTTTTTTTAACACAAGCTCGTAGTGCATAGTTGAAACTTATTTATGTTAAACTTGGCTGTTATTCTATGATTTAAAGATATATTATGATCAAATTAGATATTGAAAATATTGAGAATTGCCACACTGTTTCTTTGTAAAAATAAAATCAACACACAAAGTAAATAAGTTATGTTTTAAACTCTACACGCTATAGGAGGCCAAAATAAGAATATATTGTGTCATTAAAACAACTGGCTTTTTTTTAAAGAAAGGACCAACTTTACTTCACCTGTATTAGAGAATGCAGCTTCCCATACATAGTTTGCACATTCTTTTATCCAAATTAGACAAGATATAGTAAAAATTTCATAGATTTCAACAAATTCTGTGATAAAATTATTTTACCTAAAGGTGAGTATAGTATATCTTAGTCTAATTTCAATTACAGAAAAAGTTGTCTTATTTCAATACAGTAAATGTGTCTTATTTCAATACAGGAAAAGTTGTCTTATTTCAATACAGGAAAAGTTGTCTTATTTCAATACAGGAAAAGTAATCTCAATGTCACTCTCGTATTCTTTCAGTATTTCTTGTTGACGTTCAGATCGTTTCGATGCAGCCATTCTATCTATATCCGCTGACAGGAATTTGTACAACTCGTAAATATCTCGTCTGCTAGATCTCACGAAAGAATCGCAAATATTCCTAAAAAATGCCCATCCCTTAAACAAAACATGAATATATTTAATAAGTTTAAATAAAATAAATTCCAATTTGTGTTTCCTAAAAATATATGAAAAGACGAATTTTTCCCATGTTCAGAACCTTGTTCCAATGTGGGCAAGTTGTAACGGTCACTAACAGTGACTGACTCATGTGCAATACAGCGCTGCGGGTTCGAGTCTCAGTTTTAGATTTTTTCATGCTGGAAAGCAATTCGGCTAACGATAACTGCAAAGGTTACAATCCACGTAAATTATCAAAAAGAGGTCAAAATATGCAAAATAGCCCTCACTGCGATTGTCACACAGTAGCAATATTGGAAATATACTGAAAAGTCAGTCATTAATCGCAAATAACATGTAAATCATTACTTTGATCATGAATCTTTTTACTTTTCTTAAATTCTTCCTTCATTTTTCTCAAGATTGATTTTCTTGAAATATTCTGACTCATCTGATATACAGCTTTAACATTAATGAATTAAAATTGTCTATCATTATTAACAAAACGATATCACGTGATATAAACCAATATCTTTCACCTGTTTTTCATGTTCCAGTGTTGTCTGAAATCTTTCAACATATTTTGGATCTTCAATTTTCTTTAGGAACAGTTTTCCAGGTTTAGAGTTGGATTTTAGAACACTCAGTGTTGTAACTATGGCAGACCAGTGCTGGATAATCCGTGTAAATTCTATCTGAGCTGTTTTCAGCTGGTCTAGGGCATTCTGAATCATCTTCACATCGCCATAATTTGCTGTAAAAGTAGATACCCGGTCAGTGAAGCCTTTATTGTGCAGCTATGATGGGGGTTCGAACTTATGCGGCCAGAGAATCCGCATTCAATGTGTTTCTAGTCTGACACGTTCACCTTGCAACTATTACTTCCTGATTTTACGGAATAGATTTTTCTCATCTTTGAATTTCGAACAGTCTATAAAGAGTTATATGGATTTCGATATCAAAATACAAAGAGCTATTAACATTAAAGAACATGGCCAGACCTAACAGGCGTGCAAGCTGACATGAATCTGTGCTGTTTGGCAGTGGTTATTCACTTTCCGTTTCATATTTCGTTCAAATATCTCGAGAAATTCATCAAGAAAAGTATTGTTACGAATCGGCGTTAAAGAAAATTTTCTTTAAAATCAGTATGCTAGTTACCGTCTTGTATTGCTAACTTTTTTAAATCGCCTAAATGTTTATATGCAAGTGTACGCTGCTCATGGATTCGACTTAAAACATTCCTTTTCCTGTCAAAACCACGCTCAACCGCCCGCTGTGCCTCCATGTATGCTCCCATCAATACTTTGAACTGGAAAGTGTTAGGGAAAAAACATCACACTTTTAAATAACAATCTTAATATATTACGAGTGATGATCCAGAAATACCCGGATTAAATAATATTTATTAAAAGTTCATATAACAAACGCTATATTAATGCGTTATATATCCTCTTTACCATGAAACAAAAATTATAACAATTAAACACACTATGGTCAGCACATGCCGTTTGTTGGCATATTTCGTTTAATGGCACTCGCTGTAGGTGTGAGTACCTCAACAGACAGGGCAGTACTCGAGCATGGCCCACTTCTTCTTGCTGGACCCAAGCTGGAGGTTGAACACCGGGTCATCCAAGTCGGAGCTCCAATCGTCCCAATCGATGATAATGACATCATCATCATCGTGGACCGGCTGCATACATAGTAATGTGCATGTGGGGTTGCACGAATGTGGTCACAATGCCATTAGCTGTGACTGAAACATATATAATGGCATTGATAAACCACAGAAGACCCTTTTTCATCAATGTATACCTCTTCCATCCGTTTGTCTCGATTAAAAAGATCACTTATCCCGCCTAAAACTCCGCCTACAAATGCTCCGATACCACCGGCGACTGATGCTCCTACTTTCATACCTTCAATGAACCCATCGTTACCATTAGCTGCCATGTTTCCACCAGCCATTCCTTAAAAAGATTATAAATGCATGCCTAAATCCTGTATTGTAAATGCATTAAGGATCATGTAATAATGAGAAAAACATCAGCTCGTCGAATCGAAATGAGTTCGCCATGAGGTTACTTTCCATACATTAGTAGGTGAAAATATATTCAAATTACATTCACTGTCACAAGGAATACATGCCAGAGCCGAGATACAGTTCGAATGACCGTAGAAAGGATTTCATAATCAATCACAGTGGAAGTGACCTGTACTGTCTTGGAATCGAACCTGTATCGCCTAATTCACAGTCCTATTCAGCTAACCATTCTACCGAATGGTTACAAGGGAATTAGGGAAACCATGGTTTCTCTTACATGTAACAAATGACAAATATTAGTTTCCTATAATTGTAACGTCATTTAACTTAACTTACCGGCTTGTTCTCTAAACATTGCTCTATCTGATTGTAACATTTCTAGATTGTTATCGATTGCCTGCTTTTCCTCGTCCAATTCCTCTTGTGCCCGTTTAGCAGCTCGTAAATTATTTTTTTCGGTTTCCATATCTTCCTTAAGACGTTTCTTTTCGTTGTCAACATGCTGGTTCCAAATAAGCACATCACCAATATTTTCTTGAAGACCTGTATAGGCGTCTTTGTAACTGTCAGACATTTTAGAAGTAGAATACGAATATATAAATAAAAAATCACGGTCTTAACATAAAATATGTAAATGTTACCAAGAACTGTTTTTCATAAGGATTAAATTTAATCATACATTATATGATATAAAATGTAAATGTTATCACAAACTACTAGTATATTATCAACGTAAATGTTACCATAAGCTATATATCTTAAATACCATAGATGATAGAATTCCAAATGTTGACCATAAATTATCATATATAAGAGGTTAATGTTACCGCATTAACTATTCATACCCGTCTCTCATTTTTTCGGCTTCTTGTTTCATATCCTCAGCTTGTTCTATTATCATGTCTAAAGCATCTTTTACGAGCTCTTCGTCCTACAAAATAGCCTTTCAATCCTTAATCTATTAAATATGTGTGGTAAAGACACGGTTCAGAACTGTTCACTATTTAGAGGGAAAATGTCTAAGCGGCCGGATAGCTCAGTTTGTACAGCCGCGGAACATGTTTCGATGGTCCCCGGTACGAGTCCCGGTAAGACTGCACATTTTTCTTACCCTCTGACGTTTGGCTCTCAACGGGGAACCGTGACTGAATACTAGTATAGCTCAAAGTTAAATTCACATTGCTCTGTAACCTTTGGAAATTCGATGACGAATTTCAATATTTCAGGGAAGAATGTCACGGTTCAGAACTGCTCGCTATTTAGGGGAAAAGATGTGTAAGCGGTGATGCGGTAGAGCCGCAGAGCAGTATTACGAGGGTCCTGGGTTTTATATTTAACTATGACACAGTTATCAATAATCCTGTAACAAACGGAAATTTCTATTACTATCATTCAGTATGTATAACGGTAATATTCAATTCTTAAAAAGAGAGGGGCAGTCGTTTTCTAAAAAATGTATTGTATCATTATCAATGGTTGGTAAATTACCATTACAATAGTCAATCTTTTTTGAAATGTACCAATTCAATTTCACTTGACAGCGGAAAATTGGGTAAAGAGGTCGTGGCTAGGTCTCCATACATTACCTTTAGGTCCAAAACAGCATCTAAAATAATAGGTATCATAGTTTCGACTATATGCGCTGAGGTGACTGAAAATTTATCCATCAATTCTGCCGACTGGAGGTGGAGCATTTGTGCTGTAGCTGCCGTCATGCGAACCTAAAATAAGCATACTTTACATATAACAAAACAGCTCACTTTTTAAGCTAAAATGTTTTTTTTTTCTTTGCGTAAATATGAAGAAGAATAATCAGATATAAAAATGAAAAAAAACTTTTGTTGCTATAATTATTATCTTAATAGGTGTATCTTTTTTTATATAAAAATTACTTGGGACTTTGGTCTATTTGTGATAGAATAAATAGTGAAACGTGTTTTGTAGCCTGATCTACTAAAATGAAAAAGGTACCTCTCATTACTACAAAAGACAGGAAGGGTTTCAAATTAACGAATTCAAAATTTCAACATATAGAAGTCATAAATTCACGAAAATAACGGCATAAACTTCATAAACTTACGATTTCAACGTCATAAATTCATGAAATTCGTGATTTCAACGTTTTAACTCCATGAATTCAAGTTCACGTTTTGAATTAAGTGATTCTAATTTAATAAATTCATGAATTCACGATTTCAACTGGATCAAAAGTTCCTGTCGGGATTCGAACCTATTTAAATCATTTTAGAAATTTAGTAAATTTCATAAAAGAAAAAAATACGAAAATCCACAACAACCCACACCGATGGTGGCAAGTGGTTTTAAGTCAACGACCTTAACCACGTGCCCACGGACGGCCGATTCTTCCATGTGAGGAAGCCATCCAGCTAGCTTAGGGACAGTTCTACTCAGGTGCCGATTAATGCCTGAAATAATGCATTTGTGCCTGACGTCTTCCTCCACCTTGAAATCGTGAATTTATGCAGTTGTAATCATCGGGATTTCATGGAAAACGTGAATTCTTTAAGTAAAAACTGAACACGGGAATTCGTGATGTTGAAATTATGAATTCCGGAAGAATTTTTTTTTCAACTGGTCTTATGTGTATAATGTAACTTTAAATGATATGCGTTAGCAAACTGTAAGTCTGAACCTCTACCCCTAAGGAATAGCAGGAATCAAATCTCTGGTAAAGATCCCGCTGCCAGGCCTGTATGTTTTTGTTTTTTTGTCCTAATTACATGTTTAACTGTATGCTTATAAAACTGCTTGCCTTTTTCGACTGTTCAGGGTGGTCGGCTAAACTTAAGTACGCAAATTCCAACGATTGTGCTACTGCTCGTAAAGCCCTATACACTTCCACTGCCGCAATCGTATGAAAAGATGTTTTCATCTTTAATGGTAAATCCTAAAATGATTGAAATATGCCTTTTTAGATTCAAGTAGCTTAAAACTAGAACCATCTTCTTCTGAAAAACTTTCTGTTAAATTAATATGAAAGTTGTTTCCACCAGCAAATAAAAAAGGTAATGCTTGTTCCTTGAGAATAGATTGATGTACTGAATGTTGATTTGACAATAACAAAAACTTTTCATTATTAAGTTAGTTTCTTACTTCTGGAATCTTCACGGTGGTCTCATCTTGCTCTGCTCCCCCAGGGCATCCTCCTTCAGCAGCACACGATTTGCTGGCATCTAGATCACCATCACCCTTGCTGGTCCACGCCACAGTGATTAGAAGAATCAAGACGATCTGAAAATTAATTAGATTGCATTTGTGAAAACAAGATATGCCACCGCATAAATACAACATTAAATATATTAGAGGCAAAAGTATTTTTTTGTTTCTTTACAACTGAACTTTGCGATAATGTTGTATTTGTATGTTTAATATGGAGAGGAGGTTCTTTTAAACCAAGTACATACATGTATGTAATAAAATTTCTGTTCTGTTCTGTTCTGTTTATTTTCATTGGATATTTGGTCAGATCATGTAAATCATTATATCGTGTAAAAGTCCAAATTTGTAGATATAAAAGTAAACAGTACATTAATCATACTATTATGTTTAAAATACAATATGTATACCGCCATTGAATCAGATTTGGTTAAAATTATACATGATATATACTTTTACACATCTTTAGTCATGTGTTATTCGTAGATTAACATAAATACCCCAAAACGGGTGGTTTATCAAAATGAAATTGATTAAAATTAATAAAAAAGAAATAAAACTAGATAATTTGAGATCAAATGACTCACCAGACACTTGACAGAGGTCATGGCAACGTCTTTGAATTAGTCCTTAAATTGATTAATTAAGGAGCCATACAGTAAAGTTCAAAATTTTATGTTTAAAAATGGCCGTAAACAGAAAGTAGAAAAACCGACACGTGTAATTTTGTTTGTACATGGTCTGTTTCTTCTGCAGAGTTAAGCTATTTATAATTCTGATTTAAATTGTTCAATCAGTTGAATGAATTATTGACCCATTTTAAATTTAATCGAGTACACCTGTAAGCTATTAATAGATAAGAATGACTGCAGAACAGTTTTAATGTATACATAATATTGAATTTTGACCCCGTTGAAAAATAACCAATGTGATTTTTTTACAACAGATGATTTATCAATTATTTTTACCCACCCATACGTTAAAAATTGACCTGCAATATAAACTGGTCAAATATTGATTTGACCACATTTCAGAATGGTTGTTACATACATGTATAACAAGTTAAATAATATAATAACTGATAATTGGTAAAAAAATGAAGAATGTTTCTTTTCCAGTCGTAGTTTAATATTTTATACGTTTAATCATGTGATCCAATTTCATGATTGTTTGCTATTAGTATGGGAGCACTTTTAACATCGGTCATGCAGTCAAAGAGAATATTTTTTAACAATTTCGTCCGGTACTAGACCACTAAGATCATGCATACGATGGATTTTCAAATAACCTTTGTTCGGAAATTAATAGGAACAGCTCATGATAAGTGTATATAAGTCCGAAAACTATCAGTAACTCAATCATACAATCTTATATCCTGCCCATTTATATCATACATGCGTTTTACTTGTGTCCAGTAACGCTGGCATGTGAAAAGAACGCACGATTCGTGTAAAAAGAAACGCAGAATTGTGCAATAAATGGCGGATACCTGACAGGATTTCTAATGCGGTAAGTAAATGGGTCAATTTTTTCTTTACTTAACCAAACTTAAAAAAGAAATAGCCGTATACGGCTGCAAAGACTATACTTTATCCCTTATCAAGATTATTTCCTCGAATTTGCTTATTTTCTAAGATCATCCGTGAAAGTGATGGCTTGACTACTGTTTTGAGTGTGATTTTGGCGTTTTGTCGACTCTTATTAGTACAACAATGCATACAATACCGTACAATTTCGATATGATTCGAAAAAGAAAGAGAATGAAAAATATGTCAAAAAAATGACGTCATTTTCAAAAAATATATATATCAAAATAAATTATCAGATGAAAGATATAATTTTGTTTGAAATAAGGAGTATGGTCGGATTTACGTTCAACCTTCTGGCGCTTCATATACACAAATCGTTAGCCGAGTACTTCATTGAATTTATGTAGTCTATAACTATTCATGCAAGCAAAACTACTATGTATTACGTAAGAGGAATGATAGCTATCATACTAGAGCGGTAGCACCTAAATCCAACCATACTCCTTATTCCGCACAAAAAAGTATCTTGCATCTGATAATTGCACAATTTAGTCACTACAAAACATTGTAGTGACAGCAGAAAAATCTCCCTTTCATCGTTGATTTTTTAATTATAAATTGCTCGTACACGCCTTGTTTGACCAATGAATTATATATTTTGTAAAAACCTACAATAAGAAGTTGTTTGACTATGATTGGGATAGCAACCACGGTTAATATCGTTGTTAAAGTATATGAATTAGTTTCGATCCTCTTATAAAATGCGGAATAGGACTTCTTGTAGTTTACAGTTTTGCTAATAGACAAACATGTATATATCTATATAAGTCTGCTAAATGATAAAGAAAAGCTTCCAGAGATATCCCTCTGCAATTAACCTTATCAAAATAGAAATAAAAAAAAATGTTTCTTAAAGAACCCTTCTTCTACTTCATCTAATAGAAGCTGGGAGTGGTCAGTCATTAACAAGTATAAATTAGATATGAGCTGTATTTACATTAGAATTAGTAAATTAAGCATGATATGTCATTTTTAATGCCGTGCCTGTAAACAAATAATCTTTCGAAAGCAATGTGGTTTTATGTGTGTATAAAACACTTGATACATTTTTTTAATTCACACAATTATTATCCCTTTATAATTAGTGTCTTGTTTATTGTGTTTTGGCATTTGTAAACTCTTTTATGCGTTTGCAATGTTACAGTTCAGTTATGCTATTTTACGACGAAAAAGCAAAATAACTGTTATATATATAAATGCGTGGCGCCGCTAAATGTCACACTAGCCCATTGCCGCTAAATGTAGCACCATTGCCACTAAATGTTGCAACCGCCGCTAAATGATGCCATTAAAGACAACCATTTGAATGGAAATGTAAAGGAATGTCCCGATCCATCTGCCGGAACAAGATGAAAAAAAGTAGGTGAATCTCATTTGTCAGTCTAAAATAAAATGTAAAGGATAGTTCTTATCATTCTACAATAAAATTTTTAGGATAGCTGTAAAATAAAATGTAAGGAATAGTTTTTGCCACAATATATAATAAATTTTAGGTATGAAATACAAATGAACATCGCTTTAGACTAAATTTTGATGTATAAATTACATTGCTTTAGAGGTAATTCTGATATATAAAAACACCTGAACATGTATAGCAATGGAGTCTTATATGGCAGATTATATCTACATGTATAATGTATAATTATAATACATTACTATATAAATTTTGGCTCTTTTCCCATTGGTTCGTTCTGTGCTGTTTTATCTAATACACGACTGAATTGATGATTGTTTCTTACAAAGATACAACCTAAAAAACTATGGTGTTCTCAATTGTATGTTGTTGTTGTTTATTTGCTTTGTCAAAATGTACCTATCCCATTAAAATTCAAAATGTGCTGAATTATTGTGACGTTGGTGAACGTAGACCATTTGCTTATGACCCCAGAACACAATCCTACTAAAAATTGACGTTTTCTGATTTCATGCTCTCACAAATTCTGTTAATTTAGTTTTATAACCATGGTGTCATGCTTACTTCATTTCCTTCGGCAAAACTTAGTAAACAAGTTGTTTTCTCTCCTGGAAAATATTTAAACAGAAAAGGATCGTGTTCCATATATATTCTTACAAAAACACCAAGGTGAACCTTGTGTTATTATAATATTATTGTTCCAAAGTAATGTAAACGTGCTTTGTTTATATATACTAAACGGAAGTGACAGAAACATTTATATTCATAGATAGATTCTTATAGGTCTAAAAATGCAAGGCAAACTGACATAATTGATCAGCATGTATTTTCTTTTTGGTCTAAATTACTTGAAACAATAAAGATGGCACCTTTTAACACACATTCACTTATTAATGTTGATACTTGAATATGAATGAGTTCCGGATTCGCAAGTTTCGCCACAGTCTTTGCCGGCGTCATGTTGCGAACAAAATTGTTAATGATTTTTATACATCATACTTCTACCGGAAGTGTAATTCAGGACAGAAAACTGCCACGTCCTCTAGCAACAGTCTGAATTGTGTAGGTGCTTTCATTACATGTTGTTTCAAAGCGTCCATAAACCTAATTATAGCTCAAATCAGTCCAATATTTTTGAAACGGCAGCGCCCAGCTAACTTAAAAAAATTCTCAAACGTGTTTGAATTAGACATTGATTTTGTTATGATTCCAAATTAACTTATACACGTCATACATGTATCTAAGAACACTACAGACCTCGCGGGGCCTATGACCCCGCTCGGACTTTATAATTCACAAATATCTAGTAAGTATCTATGCTTTATGTAAGTATATGGATGAAAGCTTTTTACTGTATTAAAAAAATGAACATCAATTACTGGAAAGACACGCATCACACCAATGTTATCAATATCATGAACCCGACATTCTTATTAACGGAAGCACATTGATGAAGTATGTGCTCGTTACTTTATTGAACATGTCATAGTTTTTTTTTTCTTCACATATTTCAAGAACCAAGAACGCATTAAACGGCAAAATGGAAAATGGTGCAGGCTCAAACTAAGAGAACCTGTTCATGAAGGCTTCGTTGTAAAAGAATGTCTTTAACAAATAGTTTCCAGCTTGTCCGAATCAAATAACAAATTACTGCTCACCTACTTGTTGGCAAATTTATATAATGATAAAAATCGTGACCCCAGGTGTTTGCTTAAAACGACTCAATTGAAGGATAATATTTCTGGGAAACACATTTAGCGTTTAATTTTGCCTTTAATGAAACAGTGGGGGCATAGCAATTTAGAATTAGCATTTAAGAATTGACGTAGTTAATGCATTAAAGGTGGAAAATGAGATCTATGAATAGTTTGAACTTGACCATGGAGAAATTAGTTTGGTAACAAACACTTTTATAAACCAGAATTTGTCACATATTTCTGTACATTTCAATATTAATGTATTTTCATTACTTTGTCGTTGTCATTTAGATTAAGTACATGAAATCATTAAATGTAATTATCATATGGAGATAATACATCCTCTCATTTTATTCGTTGGTTTCTTTACTGGTAAAAAATACGGAAATATATAAAGCATTAATTCATTTGTAAACGAATGCACAGTTTGTAATTTTGTCATTATTATGATTTGTTGGCGTATTCGATCTAAAGTAACAAGTACAAGTGGCAAATTAATCTTAAATATATATAAAATTATCATCTAAGGGCTAACGTCAAACATTTTTGTACGAGAGAAATATGGTAGTAGATGTCCTTAAAAACACGAAATCATTGCTAAACGATTAAAACCCAATATTTCATTTTGCAGCATTTTTTTCTGTTTACCACATCATTCATGTGTGTTAAGTAACAAAGACATTCTTTATTACAGCTGTTTTAAGAACTGGCCATAAGATTATAAAAACAATATAGTTTTACTTTTGATAAGTTTTTAAAAAATATTTTATAAAATAAAGCTTTATGACCATTAAGGTTATATTCCTATCAGTCTGCTTGAAAACATTTTAAGGCATAATCTTTAAATATATAATGTCAATATATTTAGTAAATAAAGTTGGATGCATACCTGAAGATGGTACAGAACATTACTATAAATTAAAAACTTTTTAATAATATAAAATAGAAGTTATCGTTTTCTTCATATTTTATCAATTTTTTGATCCATGTGTTCAGCATTTACTCTTCCAAATGGGACAAACAATTGCATTTCGAGAAAA